GGGCAATCAATGAGATGTACCTCATGTACAACCCTGGAAGAGATGTCACTGAGAAGCAGGCCAGGACAGTGTAGCTATGGACCTCGGGTCCGGTTGGTCTCTGGGACCAGAAGCATTTTCTCCACCGCCCAGCGGCTCATGGCCCTGGGATGCCCACCCCTGCTGGCTCTCGCTGCTGGACGTCCACATCAGGGTGTGGCTCTCCCAGGGCGGCCGTTCTCACAGCTCTCCCAAGACGTCCTCACGATGGGGCAGTGTTCCTCTCATCGTCTCAGTGCAGGGCTTTGCTGCCATCCCACACGGGACCCTTGGCTGGAGGGCAGCAAACCCCGGACCTCTGGATAACTTGGGCTGCCTTGGTGGGCTCTCCCTGGGAAGGTCTTGGAGTTGCAGCTGCTCGGGGGCCTCTGCCCCAGTCATCTCGGAAGGACATGGAGTGTCCAGTGACAAGGCAGTGCCCTGCGTTGGGAGGGAAGAGGCTGGGGGTGGCTAGCTGAGCCTTGGGGGTCCTTCCCTGAAGATCTGGGGCCCCTCGGGAGGTCTCTCTGGCCTAGAACCTCCAGTTGGGGAAGAAGGCAGTGAGCACAGGAGCGGGGACCTGGGTGGAACGGGTCACCGTGCCAGGCTTACACCCGGCTTGCTCTACTTTCCAAAATAGCTAATAAGGAAATTAATTTTGTCACCCAGATGTATTCAGTGAAAACATGTCAGGGAAAGACAATTAACCTCTGCACTGAGAATCCTTCCCAGATTAACCAAGTGCACATTTATAGATGTTGAGAGATGCAATTCAGGAGAGAGCCCAAGTCAGAGCTTTTTCCAGACTGAAGGGGTGGGGGGGGGGGGGGAGAGAGAGAGACAGAGACAGAGACAGCAGAGAGAGATACATGCACACAGACACAGACATGGAGGGAGGGAGGGAGGAAGAATGGAAGGGAAGTGGGGGAGAAGACAGAAGGGAGACAGAGACACACAGAGAGAGAGCGAGCGAGCAGGGCCTTATTGGGGACATGGCTGTCACTTTTACTTATTCAAGGCATTCACTACCCTTGGTTTTGGGTCAGGGTACGTCTTGACAAATGAAACCAAAACCCAGGAAAAGTTAGAACACTAACAAAGGGAATTTTCAATCTTCCCATAACCAGGTGGTCCCTCTGCTTGCTGATTCTGTATGGCTTTCTCCTGGGAACCCCAGGCCAGCAGGAAGTAGCTTGCTGGCCAGAAAGTAGCTTGCTGGCCAGAACAGTCTGGTTGGCTAGATCAATAGCACTGAGAATTCTCGCTTTTGTCTTTCCCTGGGGAGCAAGGAATTCCATCCTGGAAAGCCCTGTCCCTCACTTCTGGCACCTTTGTGGAGACCATGGTGGGGAGACTCTGCTCTGCTTGTGTGGGGCCCGCACAGAAGGCTGAGCCTGGATAGACAAGTTGGAGAAACTTCGTTGGGCAGAGACAGGTGTGGGGGTTGGCGGGTGGGATCTGGTGAGGGAGGGTGGGTGTCAGAGGGTGGGTTTCCCCCCTGGCCCTCTGCAGACTTGGTCCGCCTTGGGGAGCACTGGCTCAGGAAACAAGCCTGACAACTTCTCTGGGGACAGTCAGGTTTGGAGACCCTCAGGGGTCTTCTTTCTGTGTGACTTGGGTGTCAGTCCTGTTCCTGAGTTAGTGGCCGGCAGATGTCCCTGCAGAGCGGGCCCCGGAGCTTTTCTTGAGGGCGCAGTGGCTAGTAGCCAGCAGGCGATGTTGCTCCCGCTTGCTAAAATCCATACCTTTACAATTTCCTTCAACTCCGTGAAGAGCAAGCAGGACCAGAGACAGCCATACTTTTCAACTCCTGTTACATGACCGATTCTGAGAAGTAGGCATCAGGATGCATTCGGTAGGCCCGAGGGAAGTATTGCTGTGTTGAGCCAACAACAGGAAAACAGTGAGACCCTCAGATACTCAGCTTTTGTTCCCAGAAAACACAGGGACAACCCAGGGGTCACAATGCTGGCCAGCCACGGAAGGGAGGAACGAGAGACTAGGAGTCCAGGCCTCCAAGACTTAGCTGGAATTGAGCCTGGGCTCTTGTGTTAGTAACGTGGGGGGATATGGGAGGAACGTGGGGAAATGTCCCCTGTGAGAGGCTGAGAGAATGCCAGCCAGCCACTCATCTCTCGAACACTGCGGGCACAGACAAGAGACGAGGTGACAGAGGGTATCTGGAGAGGAATTTTCTGATGACCAGGCATTTTCTATCTAATCTTCCTAGGCAGATCGACACGTTTGCAGATGGCAGGCAGTGATACACGCACCTATCTTGAGTTCAGTTAGGCCGTTGCTCACTCTGCGTGACAAACCTCTCCCCACTCCCCAGCCAGTAAATAGGGGCACCTTTTCCACTTCTCTGGATCACAAGCTGGCCTGGACTAGGGCCTCCAAGTGCCCAGGGAAGGACCTGAGTGACATCCCATGGACCAGGCCAACTGATGGGGTTGGAGTGCCCTGGATGCAGATGACAGCGGTGTGGTGGGAAGGAGGCCCAGCCTAGGAGAGATGATCTCAGTTCACAGAGGCATGAGGCATGCAGCCCTGTGAGGGTCCCTGGGCCCAGCAGGGCTGGAGGGGCTTGTTCCTGGGATTCTGGTCTGTTCCTCTGGGGCCTTCTCTGTGCCTGGCCCTGAGCTGGGCGGCAGATATGTTCATCTCACCTCCCAAAGGTGGCAGCATGTCTGGTATTGGACTAGCACGAGACCCAGGACATCATTGACTGAGCACCAACTTCCCTCTGTCCCCATGTGCCACCTGCTCTGTTCCCCCCACCCCAGGCTGTGGTCTCAGAAATGGGTGAAGGCTGGAAGCCTTGGAAGGAGTAAGTTCTTTGGAGGGAAGGGGATGATGGGATGGAGGGCCAGGGCTAAGTCGGAATGTGCACAAGGCTGACGTTTTGCTAGGATGGCGCTGGTGGACTGCATCTCCATTGCTCTAAACAGAGCTAAGGAAAGGGGCTCTATCTACAGCATGAAGGCTCTGGCTTAGAGGAAGGAAGAGCCATGGGCCACTGGGGCTCTGACCTGTAAATGCGTTACTGGTGAACAGGGTGTCTGAAGCCTCAAGGATGGGTGGGAGCCACCGTATAGCCTCAACTCCTCTTACAGGATTCGTGATGCTTGGCGGGCAGCCCCTCGCCAGTGGCTGTGTGTACGTCTACAACGTTTTTAATTCAGACGCACTGATGGGGGGCCTGGGCGCATGCGCGCCCACGTGTGACGCTGTCCCGCACCCCAGGCACATGCGCACACATGTGTGACACTGCCCTGCATCCCAGGCACATGCGCACATGTGACACCGCCCCACCCCAGGCGCATGCGCACACGTGTGTGACGCCACCCCCCCCCCCAGGCGCATGCGCACACACGTGTGATTCCGCCCCACACGCAGGTGCATGCCCACACATGACAACGCTCCGTACTCCAGGCGCATGCGCACACACGTGCGATGCCACCCTGCATCCCAGGCGCATGTGCACACGTGTGACGCCCAGGACCGGAAAAGCTTCCGGAAGGCGCTGGCCCTCCTGGAGCCCTCTGCGCCCTTTAACTTCACGCGGCCCAGCAGACGCTCTCTGGGTCTGAGTCAAATTACATGGGAGCTCGAGGGAAAAACAAGGACCCCTCCGCACCGCGCTCTGCCTCCCATCTTTCCGTCCTCGAGAGGCGAAGGCCCAGGGCAGCGGCGGAGGCTGCGGGCGCGGGGCAAGTCCTGGCCAGGGCCGCGAGTCTGTCCAGGAGGCGCCCTGGGGACCTGGGGCCGGGCCGCGGGGAGGGTGCGGGGCGGGCGCGGCCGCTGCCCGCTGGGCGGCGGCGGATGGGCTTCCCCTGCTGCCTCTGGCCGCGCGGCAGGGACCGGGGACGGGCAGCAGGCTGGTGACAGGACAGGGGAAGTGGCGACCTGAAGAACAAGACCCTCACAGGACCTCGCAGCCGGCCCCACTTCCCCGTTCTCCCCGCAGGGTGCCTGGCCTGGCTCCCCTCCCACCCCGCCGGTGCGGTGCGCGCAGGGCGCCCCAGCGCTTCCCCTGCAGACTCCTCCCGACTCCGCTGCTTCTGCCGGTCCCACAGGGGCTGCGGGGCCTGCCCAGGGGTCAGCCGAGCCTGCAGGGGTCACGCACTCCTCAGGACCTTCTCAGTACTTCCTACTTAGACAGCGAGGCCCTGGCGGTCATGTGCGAGGGGGAGCGGGGGGCGGGGAGCCCTCACCCCGTGCTCTGCTGTCCTCATGGGGTCCGGAGGGTGGGGGCTGGGATCCCTCATGGAAGGTTCTAGTCCTTGGTGGTGGAAGGGTTAGCTTGGGGGAGGGACACAGAGGTGACTTCCCGGAGGCTCATCCCTCTGAGGTGTCTGCTTCATGAGCCCAGGGGACAAGCAGCACCTGCAGAGACCCCAACTCCTCAGAGGCACCAGGCCAGGGCTGCTTTCTTCATGCCTCTTGCTGAGATCTGCAGCTGGGACTTGTGTCCACCGGCCTCCGAGTTGTCTCTGGGTCCCTTTCCTTGAGCTATTTATTACCTCAGCCCAAGTGCCAACACACAGGGACTCTGAGGTACACAGCACTGCTCGGTCTCTAGTTAGGGGCATTGAGAAGGAAGCCCCCGCCCAGGACAGGCAGGCGGGAGGCGGGGAGTGAGGCTGGGGTCCTGCCTGCTGACACACCCTCACCCCATGGTCTCTCTTGCTCCCTTCCCCACTTTGGGTTCTCGGAGGTAGATTCCTGGGGGCATAGGCTTTGAGGGTAACTGTCTAAATACACTTGGTAGTGTAGTGAGACAGTATGAGAATAGTAGTGCAAATATCACGTTAGAGACAGCCCGTGTGCCACACACACACACTCGGCTTGGACGGCCGCCTGTCCTCCGCGTGGCAGCTGCCAGGCCCATTGGCCTGAAGTGGGCATTGGAAATGGAGACATCTAACCACTAACCCGCCAGGGCTCTGCTTCTCACCCCAGGCCCTTTTCCTGTACAGCTCCGTAAATCCAACGTTGACCGGGTCCCTTCCTGAGAACACGGGATTTGTCAAGGACCAAACATGTGACGGCTTGAAGCTCTGTGGTGGTAAGGCTGGAGACACTGGCACCCCTCTACGTTTCAGGCTGAGTACATCCCGTCCCCTCCTGCTCTCTGGGGTGGGGCTGTGACACCATGCAGACAGCCCTGCCCTGAGCCCCCACCAGCTCCCACCCCAGCCTGGGGGTTGTGATCTCGGGCCAAGCTCATCATTTCCAGAATCCCAGTTTCTTCCCTTGTAACAATAGCTGCTGGCAGGTTTGTTGGCTCCCTGGGCAGCCATGAAGCACCACAAACGGAGTGCCTGTGACATTCATTGGGTTGGAGTTCTGGAGGCCACAAGTCCAAGTTCAAGGCATCATTGGGGTGATTTTTTTTTTTTTTTTTTGTCGGTCATGGGGCTTGAACTCAGATCTTCAGCTCAAGGTGAGCGCTCTACCACTTGAGCCACAGCGCCACTTCTGGTTTTCTGGTGGTTCATTGGAAATAAGAGTCTCATGGCCTTTCCTGCCTGGGCTGGCTTTGAACTGTGATCCTCAGATCTCAGCCTCCTGAGTAGCTAGAACGACAGGCCTGAGCCACCAGAACCTGGCTAGGTAGGGTGGATTTTTTTTGAGGCTACAGGAAGAGTGGGCGTGGCCTCTGCTGGGTGCTTCTTTGCTTGTAGAAGCATCTTTCTCCTCTCCGTGTGGTCTCCGCTCCGGTGGGGCACAGGACAGATGGCCACAGTGCGGCCTGCTCTTGGCTGGAATGGAGGCTCTGTGGAGGACCATGTCCTGTGGCCAAGAGCCGCCCATACTCCAGACCTCCAGGAGGGTGGAAAAGAGATGAGTGAACTTTCTGAGTTGTCTTTTAGGAAGGAACTACAGTTATTTGAGGCCAGATTGGGAGGTCAGCTTTAAGAAGAGTATTGTGGTTGAGTGTGGTGGTATATGCCTGTAATCTTAGATACGTGGGAGGTGAAAAGTTTGCAAGACCCCATCTCAACTAGTCAAAAGCTGGAGTCAATGGCATGCACCTCCCATCCCAGATATGAGTAAATAGGAAGTATAAGTAGGGGTATGGTCCAAGCTGGTCTGGGCAAAAAGTGAGACCCTATTTGAAAAATAGTGGAAAGGGCTGGAGGTTGGCTCAAATGGTGCAGCACCTGCCTCACAAGTACAAGGCTTTGATTCAAGTCTTAATACTGCAGAGAGGGGGTGGAGAAGCAAGCAACTCTACATATGCCAGATATCCTGGGCCCTTGATACACATTTTTTTCCCCATGGGTGCTCATGGCTCCCCCACAAAGATAAGATTTTTATCATTCCAATTGTACCACCCTGTAAACTGAGACTCAAGGAATGTGGGGTGACTTGTCCCCAAAGCTGAGCTGCCAGTGCCTGGCTGCAGGATCACAGGCCCTGGAGCAACTGGAAGCAGATAGAAGGCCAAGGCAGATGTTTCTGTGTGTTGACACATACGTGTGTGGATGTTTGTGTGTATGCATTGTACATATGAGTGTCTCCACAGCTGTGCACGGATCTCAGGTACATGTGCATGTATATACATGTGCTGCAAATATGTGCAGTTAGTACATGTGTGTGCATGTATCTACGTGGGTGGGCCTACACGTGTGTGCATGTGTGTCCTGACTGTGCTACACGTCATGCTCTGGGTGGAGCAAGGGGACTGTGTTGAGGATCCTGGTCATTGTCCTGTGGGGTAGAGGAGACGGACTTGCAGCAAGCTTCTTGGAGAACTCGCAGTGAGGCATGAAGGAGGCCTGTGAAATGCGCGGCTGAGTGTATGTTTGGACAGCTTCTTGGAGAGTGGGTTGGAGGTCAGGTTTGGGGTGGAGGGCTGAGGGACGGGCTGGGCTGGGAGAAGAGGCCTTGTTAGGAGGCTGTTGTAAAAATCAGGAGAAGGCTGAGGGCAGCTGGTGCTGGCGGCTGGCTGGAGAGGCCATGGGTGTCTGAGATGGAAGAGGTGGAATCTGCGGGCCATAATAGACCAGATTGGGGGGGTCCAGGGGTCAGGGGTCCAGCATGTACTCTGGATTGGTCCCTGACTCATCCTACCCAGGAAGAGAGGCATGGGATGGGGCAAAGGGGCTTTGAATCAGGGTTTTGATACACCAAAGCCCCAATTCTCTGTGTCTTACATCTAAAAGAAAGGAGGGGAGTGGCCCATTGCTGGGGTATTCCAGCCTGATCAGACAGCCTTTTAGAGGAGGCATCTAGAGGGCAGGCAGAGGGCTGACCCATGTGGTCCCACACAGCTCACAGAGCCCAAGTCTGAGGCAGATGCTAAGGTCAGAGGAAAGAGCAGGAGCTAGGACAGGCCTGGAAGCCCTGGCCTTGGCCTTGAATACCCCAGGCTCTCAGAACACACAGGCCCCCAGAGCCCAGGGTGTGAGTGGGGAGTGACCGTGTGCAGGCTCCCCCTCTGCCCATGCTGCCCTCGCCTGTGCTCCCTGACACTACTTCAGAGCTCACATGCTGTCCTGGGGCTCCTGGCATCGCTGCCTGATGCATCCAGCGCTGCCATCTTCCAGCTGATAAGGTATCAGCCCTCTGACTAAGAGATGGCTTCCCTAAGTGCTTCCCTCTGGCCAAGCTAAATATTAATTATCCTCCTTTATTCATGATTATTCATGGATGTCATCACACCACCAAGCAAAATGTCAGAGCAGGGAGACCCGGAAGGCAGTGAGTGGAGCGGTGGGTGGAGTGAGCTGTTCATGCGTGGGAGTCGGGCCTGCTCACTCCCCGGGAGCTTCCGAACAGTGACCATGCCCTGGTGAGGCGAGGTTGGAAGGACGGGAAGTAGTTTGCCCAGCCTGGGCACTCAGGTGACAGATGCTTCTAGAACAAGAGTTGGATGGAATTTGTCCTTGATTGTCCTGAGAGGAGGTTTCTGTTTTTGATGGTTAAGTCAACAGCTACAGGAGCTATAATGTGCCAGGAGTGTGTAAGAGAAAAAGAGAGTGGCACAGGTCAGATGATTAGGCTGTGTGTGTGTGTGTGTGTGTGTGTGTGTAGTTTGGAAGTCTTTGCTGTGTGTGTGTGTGTGTGTGTGTGTGTGTGCATGTGCACATGCATGTGTGTACACGGGTGACTTGGGAGCACATGGCATATTGGTGGTGACCCCGTCCTGATGGGCTCTGGGGAGAGACCTTTATTACATGCCAACAGCTGCAGCGCACTGGTGCTCACTGAGTTTCTGCTTGGTGCTGGGCCGGCTCTGCTTGCTCCCACTCAACCGCCTATGTGCCTGCTCCCTTACTTCGGAGGACAACCTTGGAGGGAGGCGGTGAAGGAGGAAGGAGTCGGAGTGAAGCCTGGAACAGACAGAGCCTAGCCCATCCTTCTAATTACTTCCAAGCAGTGGAGCAGATCTGCAATTATATCATGAGGTCATCTTCATTAGAATGACATAAAATGTCTAATTACATACGGTGACATCTTTTCCATTCTTGTCATAGTTGAAATAGAAAAGCTTCCAGCTCCAGTGGTGAGTTTGGAATTCTTCTCTATCAGGTCTCCCCGTCTCTGTTTCTCTCTCATCCTGGTCACTGGCCTCCAGCAGTGCACAAGCCTGTGTGCCTGCTGGCCGCCCCAGCACCATCTGCTTGTGGAGGGAGAGGTGGGGTGGAGGTCCAGGAGGCTTCCTCTTCCTTATAGGGGCCCAACCTTCATTTTCCTGGATGCAAAACCCATCCCAGGACACCTGCTCTAGATGCCATTGTGGAGTACTGGTTCATTGTCCCCACTGGTTAGAGAAGGAAAAGGCAAGAACTCATTTATAGCAGACAGAGAAAGTTTATTTGAGAGCAAAAGGAAAGCTGGGAAAGGAAAGCCACGAAACAGACTCCAAGGAGCCAGCCCCAAAGCTGGGAGTCCAGTGGAGTCCTCTTGGAGGGCAGTTGTTATAGTTCACGGCTTCTTCCATACCTCCTCCTCCCCTGGGCCTTGCACAGATTGCTTGGTGGCTTGTGTTTGAAGTACCCTGGCTATCTTTCATGGAATGGCAGGAATCTAGGGCATTGTCGGAAGAAGAGACAGTTGAGAGGGAGCTCAGGGCATTGTGGAAGAAGAGACAGTTGAGCAGGAGTCCAGGGCATTGTGGGAAGAAGAGACACTTGAGAAGGAGTCCAGGGCATTATGGGAAGAAGAGACAGTTGAGCAGGAGCCTTGGGCATTGTGGGAGGAAGAGATAGTTGAACAGGAGTCCAGGGCATTGTGGGAAGAGGAAACAGTTGAGCAGGAGCCCAGGGCATTGTGGGAAGAAGAGACACTTGAGAAGGAGTCCAGGGCATTATGGGAAGAAGAGACAGTTGAGCAGGAGCCTTGGGCATTGTGGGAGGAAGAGATAGTTGAACAGGAGTCCAGGGCATTGTGGGAAGAGGAGACAGTTGAGAGGGAGCTCAGGGAATTGTGGAAGAAGAGACAGTTGAGCAGGAGTCCAGGGCATTGTGGGAAGAAGAGACACTTGAGAAGGAGTCCAGGGCATTATGGGAAGAAGAGACAGTTGAGCAGGAGCCTTGGGCATTGTGGGAGGAAGAGATAGTTGAACAGGAGTCCAGGGCATTGTGGGAAGAGGAAACAGTTGAGCAGGAGCCCAGGGCATTGTGGGAAGAAGAGACACTTGAGAAGGAGTCCAGGGCATTATGGGAAGAAGAGACAGTTGAGCAGGAGCCTTGGGCATTGTGGGAGGAAGAGATAGTTGAACAGGAGTCCAGGGCATTGTGGGAAGAGGAGACAGTTGAGAGGGAGCTCAGGGAATTGTGGAAGAAGAGACAGTTGAACGGGAGCCCAGGGCATTGTGGGAAGAAGAGACAGTTGAGAAGGAGCCCAGAGCATTGTGGGAAGAAGAGATAGTTTAGCAGGAGCCCTGGGCATTATGGGAAGAAGAGACAGTTGAGTGGGAGCCCTGGGCATTGTGGGAAGAAGAAACAGTTGAGCGGGAGCCCAGGGCATTGTGGGAAGAAGAGACAGTTGAGCAGGAGTCCAGGGCATTGTGGGAAGAGGAGACAGTTGAGAGGGAGCTCAGGGAATTGTGGAAGA